CACCACCCCACCCCACACCACACCACCCTACACCACACCTCACACCACCACACCCTACCGCACACCCCACACCACACCACACACCACCACACCGCACCACCCCACCCTACACCCCACACCACACCACCACACACCACACCACACCACACACCACCACACCCTACACCCCACACCACACCACCATACCACCACACCACACACCACCACACCCCACACCACCCCAGATGTCCCCAGATATCCCAGCTGGAATGAAGTCAGCACACCTGCTCTCTGTGCATCTGAAGCAAGGGTCAGGTCGACAGTCTTGGGGTCAAGGCCAGCAGAGACTCTGGAGTGTCCTCATCGCCCCGCTGCCCCTTCCTAAGCTTCAGTAAGCAAGATACCCTACTGGTGTCCACAGGGTGTGGCCATGTCCCCCTAACAGGGTGCCCCTCGACAGACAGCATGCCTCATGCATCAGGTACCAGAGAGGAGGGAGGAAGTGGGCGGGAGGAAAAGAAAGTGCACTCTAAGTCCTGGCTGTACGCCTGTGCCCTAAACTGGGATCAACTCTCCACCAAAGTGTCCTAGATGCTAGCTTTTTAGGTAGGTTACCAAAGTTCAGAAGTCAAGGGAATGGCCCCTTCCCCGGCTGTCCCTCTGCGCACCGAGTAGGGTGAAGTCACAATGTGCGGGATGCCTGTGACCCTCTCTGCCTACTTTCGTGTCTTTCCCTATGGATTTATCAATTCACCCACCAAATTACACGTTTTCCAGGAGAGTCTGCAGGATGCCTTGACAAGGCTAGATTTACCTTGGCTGTGGGGGGCTAGCCTAGAGGACAGGCTTCCCCTTAAGACCCTACGAGACCCAGTTACCCCCAGGCAGAGTACTTCCACAGCCTGGGAAGCAGATGATGTAAGTAGCCAGCTCACCTAAGGAGCTCGGTGCCCCCTGGCTGTCTTAGGAGGCGAGTGGGGTGAGTGGGGCCCTGTCTGTGCTTGGAAGGAGGGCAGCCCCTAAGTGAACAAGGTGATACTCCAGATGGGGGACTAAGAGGGCCCAGCAAAGTCCCACCTTGAGCTTGGCCCTTCCTCCCTGTGCTAAACTCGATTCTTCCTTTGGGACCCAACACCGTAGCCTCAGGCAAATGTGACTCTGGAAGATCTCCACACTGGTTGCCTGTGGGAAGTGAGGGTGGGCTATCCCCTGCTAGCTCTGCCCAAGGTAGCACAGGCTATCCCACTATGGTATGAGGTCCTTAGAGATGTCTCATTCCCACAGTTGTATCGTTTGTTTGTTTGTTTATCGAGACAGGGTTTCTCTGTATAGCACTAACTATCCTGGAACTCATTCTGTAGACCATGTTGGCCTCAAACTCAGAGACCTGCCTGCCTCTGCCTTCTGATACAGTTGTATCTTAAGACCAGCTTTATGCAGAAAAGCCAAACTTGGCCATGGGGCACTAAGAGAACAGACAAGGGCAAAGGGCTGAAAGAGACCTGCTCTGGTTACAGCAACAGGGATGAGAGCAGCTAGGAGCCTGCCTGAGTGTGTCCTTCTTCAGGGAATAGTATGCAGCAGTTAAAAAAGATCAAGAGCCGGGCAGCAGTGGCGCACGCTTTTAATCCCAGCGCTCAGGAGGCAGAGGCAGGCAGATCTCTGTGAGTTCAAGGCCAGCCTGGTGTACAGAGTGAGTTACAGGACAGGCTCCAAAGCTACAGAGAAACCTTGTCTCAAAACAAAAGTGAAAATAAAAGAAAATGTGAACAATTCTAGACTAAAATGTAGAAAATGTAAAGCCACCTGTCAATTATGGATGAGAATCTTTCTTGAATGTCTTTTATATTTTCTGTTTTTTTTAATTATTTATTTGGTTTTTCAAGACAGGGTTTCTCTTTGTCTTTGTACCCCTGACTGTCCTAGAACTCATCTGTAGACCAGGCTGGCCTTGAACTCGGAGATCTGCCTGCCTCTGCTGGGATACTTCGGAGTGCGCCGCCACGCCCTGCTGGTCTTCTACTGCCATGCCTCCTACCATTGCCAATGATATTTTCTGTGTGTACAATAGGGAATTTTTTTTTCCAGGACAATGGAATTAAGATAATTGCATCCCACCGGGCAGTGGTGGCACACATCTTTAATCCCAGCACTTGGGAAGCAGAGACAGGAAGATCTCTGTGAGTTCCAGGCCAGCTGGAGGGAGGGGGGCAGCTGAAGGACAGCACCTGCCTCCTGGTGAAGGGAAGGAGGGAGGGAGGGAAGAAAGGAGGAGGGAGGCAGGGAGGCAAATGGGCAGGTGTTGAGAAGGTGGGCCCGTGGTCAAGCACTTGCTTAGCGTGCCCAAGGCCCTGCATCACGCTGATCCCTGGCACTAAGTGGGAGAGGGAAGGTTCCCTAGCGGACTTACTGTTGCTGAGCTAAATGGCCACAGTACTAAACAGCTCCTACTGACTTATTACACCGCCCACAACGCTGTCACTCTCTACCAGAGACACTTCTTTTTACAGCTGTTGATGACCAACACCGAGGCTCACAAGTGGCCAATGGGCAGGGAATGCGGGACTGTTCGGCCCCAAATGTGTCGCCTGTATCACAGCCCTCCTCCCAATGTGCAGGTGTCATCTCGGGAGAGCGGGCAGAGCGTTCGCGAGCCAATGCACGGTACAGATAAACGTGCTTTCCAGGAGCAGCAGCGCAGCTGCACACGAGATGGTAGCAGCTGTTGACCACAGGCGTAAGATCTGCACAAAATCAAGCCGGAAAGAGCCCAGCATGGATGGGGAAGTGGCCAGGAATTCCCAGCTCTAACTAAGGAGCCATTAGCACTGATGGCCACTCGGGGAGGGAGGGTCAGTTTTCTTCAGGGAGGTGGGCCCTGAAAAACTATCCACACTCCGGCAGATGGCCAGACACCTTCGCTCTAACTGGACTTCACTTAATTAAGAGAGAGGAGAGAGACACACACACAGAGAAAGAACACATAAAATTGGGAGGAAAGAACACATAATATTGGGGATTGGGGTTAGAGGGGAGGGAGTGGATCTGCTCAAAACAATTTACACACATGAAACATTCAGGCAGTTTCCATTCAGAGAGCACATTAGAAAAAAGAAAAGAAAGAAACGAGAAAGAGATAAATGGAAGCCTTATTCATCTGGTTTTACATTGGCCTCTCATAGCCCCAAGAGTTCTGCTTGGCCCCTGGCTACACATCCTCCGGAGGCGGCTTATGCAAATCATGCCCTCCTCTCCTGTCCCCCACAGACCTGTCATCTAGAAAGGGCAGAGCTGGTCACAATCCTCTCCTTGGCTGGGGATTTGTGGCTATAATCTCCTTTCACAGAGAAAACAACATCTCAAGCAGTGACCTTCACTGGGGCTTCCTTCCACCTGAGGAGTGAAGCCTGGTCTAAGCTATCAGTAGCCCAGGAACCTCGGGGCTTCAAGCGCATTCCACTGCTAGGTACCCACCAGTTCAGTACACCCTGAGATTTGTCAGAGTTACTCAGAGGAAAGGGCACCTGGATGAGGCACTGCCCTGGAATGTCAGCCAGGGTGTTGCAAATCATGCCCCCTCCCTAGAGAGCATCCACAGGGAAGAGCAGCCAGAGCTAAGGCCAAGGCCTGTTCTCACCAGCACCCCCTACTCAACCACAGGACTTCATTTTCACACATGACAAGAATATTCTGGAAAACTGATGTGCTAAAGAGCTCTGGGGATAAAAGCACCTGCCACGCTCACCATACGCTCACCATATGCTCACCATACGCTCACCATACCTGACAACCAGAGTATGAATGCCAGGTCCACAGCAGAGAGAAAGACCCGGCTCCCTGAAGTTGCCCCTGCCCTCTGCACGTGCACTGTGCCACACTGTACACATGCACACAGATAAAACGCACTGGGCATGGTTCACATGCACTTGAAAGGCAAAAATAGAAGTATCTCTCCAAGTTCAAGCCCAGCCTAGTCTACGTAAGAAGTTCCAGGCAGCCAAACTACATAGTAAGACCCTGACTCAAAATAAAAAGGAAGAGAGAAAGACAGAACAAGCAGGCATTTAATTAGCCCCTGCTATATACCAGACATAGACAAATCACATATTCCAGTATCTTCCCTTGAAAGATGGGTGTGCAACCTGCCTGAAGTCACAGAGCAGTTGAGAACAAAGTACAGTCCAAAGCTGATTGCCTTCTGCCCCCTGAACGTCACAGGAGGATGGCTTACCTCAAATTCTGCCATATCCAAGGACAGACTCTTTGCTGACACTTTGACCTTTTTAAGTGCTGAAACCTTGGTAAACCAAGGTGCAAACCAGGAAATTTGATGGGCCAGGATAAGTACCAAGATATATCTGAGTCCATGTGAGCTCTGAAGGCCCGTTCTTATTGTGTGAAGCACTCCACATTACGGCTCTCCTCCTGGGAACTCCAGCTCACCTAAGCGTCTCTACACCTTTCCCCACCTCGGCCAGACGCGAGGCTGAGCCAGATGAAGCTGCCATCGTTAAGGGCCAGAGGGCCCAGATGCTGGCAACTTCACATGGTCCAGCATAACGCCCTGGCCCCCCTTCCCCACACACCTCAAAACCCCGATCAGATCAAATACCCAACAGAGAGGAAAATGCATGCACTGGGCAGGCTGGACAATCAAACCCTGGGTCTCCCACCCTGGAACGGCGGCTACTCACTCTTTGACTTCCTTGGAGGAAAAGTCCAGGTAGCGGTTACTGATCCACTGAATCTCGAACCAGTCCCGGAAGCCGTTGTTGCCGCAGCACCTGAACTCAATCTGAAGCATGTCGATGGTCTTCTTCATGAAGCATCTCCCTGGGGTGTCCGTGTCCCGGTAGTACTTCATCCCGTTCTTGAGCCCGTAAGCCAGGGTGGTCTCCAGGGAGCCCCGCAGCAGGAAGCAACAAAGAGCCACGAGGAAAAGGATGGCGTTGAAGAAGACACAGACGGCCAGGTACGGCTTCAGCCAGGGCTTCCACTTGGCGTACTTGGCGGGGTCCAGAGCGTCGTAGCAGATCTTGCCAGCCAGAGAATTGAGGACACAGGACAACACCCCCACCCCTATCAGGGAATTGGGGACAAAGTGACTTTCGGAGTTATTCATCACTTCGCTTCTCTTGCGGAGCTCAATCTTCAGGAACAGCCCCAGGCTGAAGAGGACGATGCCGGCCAACACAGACAGCCAGTTCATAAGCCAGAGCCCCTGGGCCAACTTGACCCGCTTCTTCTGGTCAAACTTGACTTTGAGCAGCGCCATGCTTACCAAGTGGGGTCCAGGCAGCCTCCCACAGTTCAGCTTCCACTCCTAACCCTACTGAGGTCAGGGGCTAGACCACTTAGGGCCTTAGGAAGAGCACCATGGGCCCAAGCAGCTGGGAGTTGCCCATCTTGGGGCCTCCCTAGCCTAGAATCCTCGTTAACTCAGTAATGGCAGCAGGAGCTAGTCTAGGCCGCCGTTTCTGCAGCGTCCTTCCCAGCCCAGGAGGGACAGCCCGAACACTGCGGATTAGAAGTGGGATCCACAGTGCCGTTGTTAATCTCTTTAGCCAGGGTCATCCCATTAGAGAAAACCATGCCAATTCGAAACATGGCTGGGAGGAGCTTCCGTGTGTGTACTTGCCGGATCCAGCTCGGCTCAAAAGTCCAGAACCAAGAGGACTCAAGCTGGCTAGAACAGGCTGGACAGTTCCTGCAAGCCCCAGGGAGGTTGCCGGGTCTGTGAGTCTGAGAGCAGAGAGGTTGAGCATTTGCGGCTGGGGTGGCTCAGTGATTAAGAACACTGCCCTTGCAGAGAACTCACCCAGGATCCCCAGCACCCACGCAGTGGCTCACAACCATCTGTAACTCCAAGGGCTCCGACACCCGCTTCTGGCTTCCATGGGCCAGAATTTAAGTGGTACACAGACATACGTCAGGCAAAACACCACTCACATGTGATGAGACCACAAAGAAGTAATCCCAGATGCCAGCCTCATCTTGAGGGTTAGAAGGTTTTTTTTTATTTTGTTCTTATCTTAGACTGTACAGCTCTGGCTGGCCCGGAATGTACTGAGTAGACTAGGCTACCTCAAACACAAAGATACGATTGTGTCTGCCCCTTGAGTGTTGGGATTAAAGACACACACTTGGCTATGTGTAGCAAGTTCAAAGCCAGTGTGAGCTACATGAGGCCTATCTCAAACAAACAAACAATAAATAAATAACCAGTCTAAACAGCAGTTAAATCTGTCACCATGGTCACAAAGACAGACATGGGAAGTTTAAGTGGCAGGGCACCCCTTTAATCCCAGCACCCCAGAAGTGGAGGTAGGCGGATCTGTGAGTTCAAGGCAAGCCTGGTCTACAGAATAAATTTCAGGACAGACAGGGATACACAAAGAAACCCTGTCTGGAAAAAACAAAAAGAAGGCTGGAGAGATGGCTCAGTGGTTAAGAATACTGACTGCTCTTCCAAAGGTCCTGAGTTCAATTCCCAGCAACCACATGGTGGCTCACAACCATCTGTAATGAGGTCTAGTGCCCTCTTCTGGCCTGTAGACATACACGCAGAAAGAATATTGTATATATAATAATAAATAAATATTTGGGGGCTGGAGAGATGGCTCAGAGGCTAAGAGCATTGCCTGCTCTTCCAAAGGTCCTGAGTTCAATTCCCAGCAACCATATGGTGGCTCACAACCATCTGTAATGAGGTCTGGTGCCCTCTTCTGGCCATAGAAGGAATGCTGTATACATAATAAATAAATAAATTTAAAAAAAAAAAAAAGAAAAAACAAAAAGAAAAAAGGAAGGAATGGGAAGTTTTGTTTTTGGTTTTGTTTGTTTGTTTTGTTTTTCCAGACAAGGTTTCTCTGTAGCTTTGGAGCCTGCCCTGGAACTTCATATGTAGACCAGGCTGACCTCAAACTTACAGAGATCTGCCTGGCTCTGCCTCCCGAGTGCTGGGATTAAAGGTGTGCTCCACTACCGCCCAGCAGTATGACCTTAGTGAGTCTGTAAGGATTTGTTGCTTTTGGTTACTGTCTTGGGGCTTGTTTTTCTGTCTTCTGTTTTTCATTGTTAAGACAGATTCTCTATAGCCTTTCATTGCTATGCATCCCAGACTGGCTTCAAAATTGAAGAAATTTTCTAATCTCATCACCACCAGACGGCTTTTTGGGTTTGGTGTTACTTTATTCTTCTTCCTCTTCCTCTTCCTCCTCTTCCTCCTCTTCCTCCTCCTCCTCCTCCTCTTTTTTTTTTTTTTTTTTTTTTTGCTTTTTGCTTTTTCGAGACAGGGTTTCCTTGTGTAACAGCCATGGCTGTCCTGGAACTTGCTTTGTAGACCAAGCTGGCTTCGAACTCACAGAGCTCCACCTGCCTCTACCTCCCAAGTGCTGGGATTAAAGGTGTGCACCACCACTACCTAGCTACTTATTGTTATTTCTAATTAGTAGATATTTTAAAAGCAATTTTAGGTTTATAAAAATTTGAACGAAAACTACAGAGTTAGACTGGGTGCAGTGGTACACACCTTTAATTTGTTACACAGAGAAAACCTGTCTTGAAAAACCACAAAAAGGAGGAGAAGGAAGGAAGAGGGGGAGAGAGAGAAAAAGGAAGAAAGAAAGAAAGGAAGAAAGAAAGAAAGAAAGAAAGAGAGAGAGAGAGAAAGAGAGAGAAGGAGGGAGGGAGGGAGGGAGGGAGGGAGGGAGGGAGGGAGGGAGAGAGAGAGAGAGGAGGAAGGAAGGAAATACAGAGTTACTATCCCAACCAGTAATATCTTACATGACTGTTATATTTTTAGACTGTTTTGTTTGAGACAGTACTTTGCCAGGTAGCCAAAGCTGGTCTTGAATTATCCCTCTTTCTGCTTCAACTGCTGGAGTATACATTTATCTATCTGTCATCTATCTATCTATCTATCTATCTATCTATCTATCTATCTATCTATCTATGGGATTTCAAGACAGGGTTTCTCTGTGTAGTCCTATCTGTCCTGGAACTCACTCTGTAGACCAGACTGGCCTTGAGCTCGGAGATTTGCCTGCTTCTGCCTCCTGAGTGCTGGGATTAAATGAGTATACATTTTTAAAAAGATGTGTTTTTAATCACATGTGTATGTGTATGTGGTTGTGGGGAAATGGGCACATGGGTGCAGTACTTACAGAGGCCAGAAGAGGGCATCTGATCCTCTGGAGCTGAAGTTGCAGGCAGTTGTGAAGTTGCTGGGAACCAAACTCCAGTTCTCTGCAAGAGCAGCAAGGGCTGTCTCTCCTGCCCCAATTTTAAGACAGGGTCTCTCTCTAGATAGTCCTGGCTGTCCTGGAACTTACTGCCTCCTGAGTTTGGGGATTAAAGTTGGGTGTCACTAAGCCCAGCAATTTTCACTAGTTTTAAGAGTATACAGTGTAAGGGCTGGAGAGATGGTTCAGCAGTTAAGAGCACTGGCTGCTCTTCCAGAGGACTTGGGTTCAATTCCCAGCACCCACATGCCAGCTCACAACCCTCTGTAATTTCAAAGTTGTGTTTTACTATCGTTGTTAAACCAACTTCCAACCAGTTTACCATGGCCTATGACCGTCCGGGTTTTTCTACACCTCTGTCACATTCAGCTAATCAGCATCATCTTCTGCTTAAAAAGTCATTTCTACTGCGGTGGTGGCACAGCCTTTACGCTCAGCACTCAGGGGTCAAAGGCAGGCAGATCTCTGAGGTCGAGGCCAGCCTAGACTACAGAGTGAGTTCCAGGACAGTCAGGGCTACACAGAGAAACCCTGTCTGCAAATGCCCCTGCCATGCCCCCTCCCCAGAAAAAGAAGACTTCGGGATCAAGGGCAATGAGATGCCCGTGAGATAAAGGTGCTGCCTGCCACTCCTCACGACCTGCGTTGGATCCCCAGGAGTCTCGTGCTGGAAGGAGAGAGCCAACGTCTGGAAGTTGTCCTCCGACTTCTACTCACACGCTGTGGCACGAACAGATGGACGGACAAACTACAACATTTGTTTGTTTGTGTTTTAATTTCCAGGTGACCAGAGCGTTTACTGCATGCCTGTAATCCCAGTACTATAGAGGATTGTGAGTTTGGGACCAGACATAGCCAAACCTTGTCTCCAATTTTTTTTTAATTTTGTTTTGCTTTATTTTTCAAGACAGGGTTTCTCTGTAGTTTTGCAGCCTGTCCTGGAACTTGCTCTGTAGACCAGGCTGGACTTGAACTCACAGAGATCCTGCCTCTGCCTCCTGAGTGCTGGGATTAAAGGCGTGTGTCGCCACTGTCTGACTGTCTCCAATATTTTGTTTTCAGGTCTTTGAGTAAAATCAAATCAAAATCCACAGAGGAGGTATGAAAGCAAAGCCACTAAACAAAGGCTGTTTTTCCTCCAACAAAGTCACCTTAGAAAATAACCCTTGTTTCCTGTTGAGTGCACAGCATCTCCGGAGGCAGACTCGGGGCGTATAGGAACAGTCTCATGTTGTTATTGTCATACAGTTTGGGTAAAACCTTTTAGTTTTGGTTTTTACATTACCTAGGGTCCCGCCTTGGCTCCTCACAACTTTGGAACTTCAGAACATTTCAGCTTTCGGCCACCAGCGACATTGGAAAGAACCAATTTTGCTTGCTGGAGTTGCGAAGCTTTAGAGCAGACTTCCCCCAACAAAGACTCTGCCTCCCTCACTCAAGCATCTAGAAGCTGTCCTGAAACTGGACTTAGGTGGCTGTGGGAGGCACGCAGACGGATGAGAGAAAACAGGAGGGAAGCGCTGAGCAGAAGTCAAAAACAGTGCTGCAGGGACAGTGGATTAGCTGCGCCGGACGGCGCTGAGCCTATGTTGCGTCTGTGTGCGCCCCCTGGTGGCCATAAGAGAAGGGCTTCAGTGGACGGAAAGGGATGCTGAAGTCACTCGGCTCTTTGAGAGGCCAGCATTCCCGAGGAGGTCAAATTATCAAGGAAGGAAAAAGGAGACTAGAGATGGACCTAGAAGAGGAAACATTTCATTTTCATCAGGATATCACGCTATGATTAAATATCGGTAAATGTTACCCATGTTATATTTAAAACGTAAAAACATGGAGCTGGCCCAATGGCTCCGCCGGTGAAGGCACTGAATGCACAGTTCTGGGTACCTGAGCTTGGTGCCTGGAACCATGAAGGCACACGGCTTTTCTCGGACATCTGTTCCTGTATGACGAACTTATGCTTACGGTTTTGATTTTTTAAAATTTTGTTTGCTTGTTTTGCTCTTTGTTGTGTTGTTGTTGAGACCAAATCTCA